TATAAAGACACGAGTAACTGTCGCGGTAGTATTGGTTGATCAATTAAAAAATTTATATATGCGGATTTTTTCATGGAATTTATAGTATCAAAACTTTAAACTGTTATTTCTCCTGCAAAATTCATCCATTTGCAAAACAATTAAGTTGTTTCGATTGAAAACTATACGTAGAATACTGATACAGAGAGAGTATGTTAATTTTATATGGTTTGTTTGAAAGTTGTAATAGAGCAAAAAGTATTGCAACAAAGGATATTTTTAAATGAATATTTTACAATACCGAACTTTTTAAAATACTACATATTTACTATTTTTTTCACTCACGTCTGGTACCTATATCGTTGAAAATGGAGAAGGAATAACAATTTGAAGACTGCACATTTTGTTGTGTTTTTTTCCAAATTCGGAAATTTTATATTAGTATGCAGATCATTAAAAATTACCCAATCAAGCTTGTGAAAATTTGAAATGTTACTGTGCAACGTAACTTTACAATACACGGTAAACATTCTGGCAATAAAAAATTAAGTGATAAATTGGATCTGAACTTGGTCTCCAATTTAGAGAGGCAACAATTATATACTGGTGAAGTTTCAGGAGCAATGGGTTCTATATAACATTTCGTGTAACAAAAAACTTCCACTATGCTAGCATCGTATGATCGTATGATGATAGGAAATTAAAAAATTATTTATTATTTTTTTAAATAATGCGCTCACTGGTTACACCTGAAAATATGAAAGACCCGTATTAAGCAAGTTTAACAAACATACATTTTAACATAAAAAGATTGAAGAGCAAATTTTTTTTTTAAAAAAAAAAAAATAAAAAATTAATAAATAATATAAATAATTCTATATAAAAAAAAACCATTTAAAAAATGGGCGATCAAAGTCATCAAAATTATTTTGATACCAATTGGGCTAATGTTTTTAATAACCATGATCTTGTTTCTACTAATCATCAAAACCTTGGAGGCAATAATTATACTCATCAAAACCACAGGGAAAATGATTTAAACAGCCAGAATGTCGGAAATAATTATACTAATCAAAACTCTGGCGAAATTCTTCAAAGCAATAATTTCAATCAATATTCTAGTCTCAATGATATCATTTACCAGAATCCAACTACTGCTACGAACATTAATTATCATCCGAATAATTCTTTTGGGATCGGGGAAGGCTCCTATCAAAATTCTATTAATTCTATTGTCACCACTGACCAAAACAATAATGAGCAACTACTTATTTACATAGCATCTCAACTTCAAAATATCCAAAATGCCATAAATCAATTTTTAGTCAACAGTCGCAACAATAATAGATAATTATTTAATTTGTTTTCTATGTAGTGATTTTATCCTTTGGATTTTTAAATTGTATTTCTTTATTTTTTTTTGTAACTCCAGTCAAATTAATCACAAATATATAATTAATAATAAACAAACCCTTTTAAATTTCATTACTATGTTCAGCCAAGAAGAAAACTTCATTAGAAAAGAGCCATGAAATAAGAAGGAACTTATTATTGGTTTGTGGACAATTTTACTATGCAAAGTAGTAATATATATGGTTTCTCAATCCAAACATATTCTATGTAAAAAGTTGCGTGTATTGGTAGTATTAACTCGAAGTTACTTTTTTTCACGGTATGGACATATGTAATTTTTGAAAATGCAATGACATCTATTATATACTGTATAATCTAAACCCTATATGATGCGTATGCATTATAATTCATTTAAAATAATCCAGTTATTTAAGGTAACTTATTGCGCTGAGATCAAAAAGTATAAATTTATTCAAATAATTTGCTTTAATGCGCGTTAACAGGTCGCAGAAAAATAAAATATTAATTGATGATATGAGAGAAATGTTGATCAATTTATTATAAAGACACGAGTAACTGTCGCGGTAGTATTGGTTGATCAATTAAAAAATTTATATATGCGGATTTTTTCATGGA